TACCCAGGAGAGTCAGTATGTATGGTAGTTAAGCAGCTGGACTGGGACCAAGGAGATTCAAATTCAAATCCATACTTAGCCAAGGAGCTCACTGGATAACTGTATACCTGTCAAGCTTGTTATTGAAAGGATAAAAGGAGGGGTAATCGCCATTTACACAGACTTGAACCCCTACAGGAAAGGAATAACATAAATGCAATACAAAAATAAATAAGGGAAATCATTGAAACAAAGTTTAAATTTGGTTTTCATGTTCTCCTGCCGTTAAGAGCCAAACCAGCTCATATCTCTTCCTCTGAGTTTTCCTTCTTATACAATGTGAAAAGGGTTAAGCTATAATTTATATTAAGCATATCTTTGCATCATGCTTCTTAAAATAATACAATTGGCTGTTTCTGGGCGGAATCATTAACAGTGAGAAAAAGGAGAAATATAACTATTTGCTTCCATACTACTTCTGATGAGACACTCTCTCAAAACTAATATTGGTATTGGAAGAATTACTTTTCACATTATGAAAGATAAACACTTAACTGTTTCCTATTTCTAAGGTTCTGCCAATAGCATTACTACGGTAGCCTGTGTCTGCTACTTCTTAAGAGCTATGCACAGTAAACATAAATAAAGTATGCATTTACTGTCATTTAATGGCCCAATAGTATTTTTGGGGGATGAGGCTGTGAATATGTATTTGGACTTGGACAGTGAAGAAGGTTAGACCTGATAAGTAGGTTGGATAGAGATCTTTAGAGAATTTTAGATCTATCCTGGGAAGACAAGACAATCTCAAACTATATGTAAATTGTTGCCAAGCAAATCCCATGAATATGTTCTTTAAGGCACCAGGAGAAGCAAGTTTCAGCTCAAAGAGAACTTTTCTTTATGTCATTTTTGATAGATAAACTACAAAGGGATTACGCTGCATATTCAACAGGGATCTCTTATTCTAAAAGGCTGGGATATGGTCCAAAACTAAGCTCAGCATGTAGGGGGGGAAATAACCTTTAAAGGTGCAAAGTGTAAATGTGCAGATATAAATAACTTACACAATTTGAAAGTGAATTCCATAGCTGCCCTGTGATTTGTGAAGTCTAGAAGTCAAGGACAAGTTTATGCAACTCTTTTACCAATCATGTTACACAGATTATGCCTATGGAAAGGGGTTTGGGAAGGGGGGGTGCCTTTGAGTCAGTCTTGATTCTTGGTGATTATATGAACAAGTCTCTGCAGTTTTCTTGGCAATATTTTCAGAAGGGGCTTGTCATTTTCTCCTTATTGAGAAATGAATAGCCCCAAATCACCGTTACCCATATTCAAGGCAAGAGTAAAACTCATTATCACTCCACTTCTAGTCTAATGACTTGGTGTAGCTATTAAAGATATTGTGTTGTTAACTGGAAGATTATGAGTTCAAGTCCTGACTTAGGCATGAAACCAATTAAGAGACTTCATAGTCTCTTTCTCGGTCCTACGAAGAAGGTAACAGCAAACTACACTCAGAAATGTTGGCCAAGCAAACTGCATGGACTTTTTCATGTAATTTCCAGGACTCAAGCCCGACTCAAAGTGACAATTTTACACCTAAAAGTAGAGCTATATTAGGTTACCTTACACTGAAGTTGTCATATCTTCCAACTTTAATATAGCAGATTCAGTGTCTTATGCTTTGGCATTAGGAAGCCTAACTTAAAACTCAATACGGATAGTCCTTGATTTATAACAATTCATTTAGTGACCATTCAGTGGCACTGAAAAAAATGACTTATTTTTCACACTTGTTTTTCACACTTATTGTCTCCATGGTTGCATGATGAAAATTCAGACACTTGGCAACTGGCATGTATTTATGACGGTTGCAGTTTCCTGGGGTCATGTGATCACCTCTTGTTGACTTTCTGACAAGCAAAGCCAATGAGGAAGCCAGATCCACTTAACAACCGTGTTACTAACTTAACAATGACAATGATTCATTTAACAACTGTGGCAAGAAAGGTCGTAAAAGGGGAAAACTCACTTAATAACTGTTTTGCTAAGCAATGGAAATTTAGGGGTCAATTGTGATCATAAATCAAGGATTACATGTGTAAGTGAAAAGGTGGAATATGTCTTTTATAACTTACACATATAGGAATCTTTTTATATGAAGTCAGATCATTGATGCCTCTAGCTAGTAGCAGTGTTGGGTAGCAACAATTATCCATGGTTTCAGACAAGAGTCTTTTCTAGTACTACCTCAAAACCCCAGGGAAATCCTCCTTCGAGGCCTAAAAATTATCCAGAGAAAGCATGCTAAAGCCAAAGCAATGGAAAAATGGAAGACATTTCTAAAAACAAAATAAATCTAACACAAAAACCATTGTCTTTCTGCCAATCAGTCCAGGGTTTTCCAAAGTTCCTGAGCTATAGCTCTTATGTCTATAACCCCCAGCATCTCTAAGTTGACTGGCAAGTCGTGAAGGTTTCTATCCGGCTAGAGACAATTCATTCAGCTGTAGCCTGTTCTAATTGTTAAAATAAGGTTCAATTGATTTCAGCTTGACTAGTGGCCAAGTATGTTTATGATAACTATCCAGGGCTTAAAAGAGGGGAAAAAAACAAGTCAATTTCTCTCAGCAAGCCAGCCTGTTTCTGTAATGCCTCTTTAATAATGTGGTAATCTGCTGAGTAAGTGCAGGCTACCCATTCCCTAAACACAGTCTCAGGAAGGCCTTTACATGCCCATGCTTACAAGAACATCCCAAACACTGTGTTTGTGTGACCTCAGACAAGTTCACATTCATTTTATTCTTAACTAGCAAAAAATAATTTCAGAAACAAAGCATGCATAATTATTTATACAACCCCTTTTTTTCTTAGAAACGGTTGCGACATCTAAACATCAGAAGCCACAGGCCTGTTCAAAGGCTATGAAGCCAATAAGATCAGTTCTAGGTAAGCCAGACACATCAAACTTCCTCATTTTAGTTTTGTACTGCTGTATCTGCAACGCAAAACTAAGAATGCGGTAGAGAACAGCAGATTTGTGTGGGTAAAAAACTACAGAATCTTCACTTTAAAATGACAAGACCATCCCACCGGAACAACAGCCTAACTAAAGCAACATGTGAATAACATGAGGGACATTTTATCATGCATGGTAGATGTGCAAAAAAGCAAAAAAAAAATGGATACAAATAAATACACAAATTCAGAAAGAGTATTAAGGACAAATTTACAATAGAAACTGAAGGCTTTTCTCTTTTTTTCTTTTTGAGATTAAAGGAGAGACAACTAGAAAAAAATCATGGAACTTTCTTTTATATATGAGAACTGCAATAAGATTACTATACGGTCAAAGAGTGGAAAAATTTGACACTCTCCACTTCACTACAATAGGTAAAGGTGATGTAACTTGCAGAGATGGCTAAATTGACTTCCTTGATTACAGCAAAGACACTATATGCACTTAAGGCTGACTGGAAACCCTTATAGACATTTTGCATGAAACAGAAATGTACTTATGAATTGTGATTTTAATGATTAGAAAAAATGAATAATAGAAAACAATGAGTTTTTTTATTTATACAGTAAGAGGTAATTTTGCAATCATATTTTCTGCAAAGGAAATCGGAAACCTTCATTTTTATCTTTATTTTTTTCTTTCTACATTTGTCTTTTTTCTTTTCTTTCTTTTTTTCCCTTTGTTTTCTTTATTCTAGATTAGTTTGTGTTAATGTTTATGTTGTCTTTAAAACTTTTAATATATATGTGTGGGTGTGCACACACACACACTCACACACATATGAACAACAGACTAACTATGGAGAAAGGGTTATGCAAATTAAGCTAGTTTTATATTTGTAGCTCCTAACTATCCCTTTCTTCAGAAATATATTGTATTCCCATTGAACAACTGCCCTGTTCTCTCGCTGTTCTGGAAAGCATACACTAAATGCATATGTATTAAACTACTTTAAAATTCAACAAAGTCTTATCTTCTTATGTAGTCCTGATATTCTTCTGCCTGGACACTGTGTTCTGATATTAACTAAAGAAATAGCTAAGCAGTATTAAGCTATGGGGAGGCTGCCTTCTGTAAAATTTCAAACAGTGCTGAGCAATCTGATATGAGGTATGGCCGCTCAACATCTTTTCTGCTGTCAACAAGCCTCTCGTAAACCTTAACTCACACAAATCAGTGGCAATTTCCACCATGTTGAGGTAGGAAATGCAAAAAGCTCTGCCATATTTCCTAAAGTAAGCTCAACATGGTTATTAAAAAAAAACCCTCCCCAACCCATGAAATCTGAAGGAGAAAAAAAAGACGCTCCCCACATATGTGATGTCTCCACCCATGATTATGCTCCGTTGCTTTTCACTGCAATTCTTTCTACCCTTTGAAAATATTATGTATACACTTTGATTACAATACTTTCAAAGTTAAAGATTAGACAACTATCATCACGATGACACAATTCTCATTTGAAAAATATGCAAGTTCAAATAAGTGTTCTAAAAAATTAATTTCTAGGATCTTTTTGACTTTTGGGATGGGGGGGTCTGCAAAAGTACTACTGAAAGTACTTAGGCCTTGTGTCCATGCCAACCCACAGAGCTGAGAATTGTCAGTAGAAAGTCGTAATGAATTATTGAATGCAAGTAAAGATGAGCTAAGGTGATAACTTAAGGGGCAGTATCTGACTTCTCAGGCTGGAGAATCATAACAACCTGTTATATGGAACATCTGACACAACACAAAACTAAAAGTTATCACTCAAAACAAGCAGATCTTCAGAGGGCATTCCACAATCCAAGGATCCAACTAAACCCTTTACAAACTGGGATCAACTGGATTCTGAGGTTTAGAATCAAGAGGATCCTCAGTTATGGCCTTATGCATTACCCACAGGCAATTTTACATTTTTCATTCTGTCAAGAAGCCTTTCTCTCATTTTTAGAGAAAAGGGGTGGGACAAGGAAAGGCCACCTCTGCAGATGAATGAACGTAAAACATGCTGTACCTGCAATGTTCTCCTGCTTGGGGCAAATTCCTTTTGTAGGTGTGAGAACACGGTCTTCTTCATCGGGTGTGACTTGGATCCCGATTTCCACTGGCTCTGACACTTTCCTGAGCTCGGAGCGTGATGGAGGGGGAGGACTGCTCTTATCCACGTTCTTTTCGTAGCAGGCACCACCAGCGCCATGGCACTGCTTCTTCTTGTGCTCTATAAAAACCAAGATGTCTCCCAGGGGAAAGTTCATCTGACACTGTCCACAGGTTAATAGGTCAGGGTCTGTTCCACCCAACGCAATGCTGAGCCCAACCGGGTCTCCTAGTGCTAGGCTCTCATCCTCATGGGTGATGATGGCAGTGTCCACGTGGTCAGCCTCTGCTTCGTTTGGAAACCCAAAAAAGGTGAGGGTCAGGGAGAAAGGGAAAAAGAAAAAAAGAAGGAAAAACAATTGAGAGCAATTGGTTTAAATATTCATATAGTTGTAATTTTTTTATCTATTTCCCACCCTGCTTGTCTCCACAAGTGATCTGAGTACATTTTGCAATCAAGTCTGTCTGCAAAACAAAATAATAAGCATATCTAATTAGGCTTTTCTGAATCAACCATCAATCTCCACAGCAATGGATTAATAACAGCGGAGAGTAGAGACCTGTTAAGTCACTTCCAGAACCAAAACTGGTAGGATTCATTGGACAGAGCCAGAGATATACATCAAGTTATATTAGAATCCATGATTCAGTTAAGTACTGTAATCAAGCATCTTTTTTCTTTATAAAGCAAGAAACAATACTGAACTATTTGACTATGGAAGCCCACCATTAAAAACAATTGACATTGAAAATATTTTATATTATTATTTTTTCTGATATTTTTCAACAATTTATTGATCATATAGTGTTGTTTTGTCAAAAACATTCTAAGATTAAGTTTGTTGTACTATGACGTTCTTGGAATGTTACTGTATTTCTAGCTTTTTATGGCCCAGTCACTGACTCACCCTCCAAAATATTTTTTTAATTAGGTCCATTCCATGGCCACTATTCCAAGGACTGTTGGAAGCAATGAATATGCAATACATTGGACTTACAAATATAGTGAAGAGGCTGATTAACCTAACAAGGTAGCACTAGCCATGTCAAATAACCATGAAAAGCTTTGGCGACAAGTAGGCACCTGTTCAAATGAATTTGAATGGAAACGGTGCTCAGTGCGTCACAGTGAAATTAATTATCTCGCAGGATTTATTAAAAATATAGGGATAAATCATGCTTACACAAAGCAGGTTTTTGGCACCACATGCATCTTATATAAGTGAGTTTGATCTGACTGCTCTTTTTACTGCATCACCTTTTCAGGATGACCAGAGGAGGAGGAGCTGTTTTGCCTCTGATTCCTGGAATCGTAAGCCTGTCTTTCCCAAGATGAAAGTCATTCCTGGGACAGGATTTTTCAATCACTATTGTACCGAGAAAGTGACATCAATGATGCCAGAAGGAGATTTATACAAATTTGCCAAAACCAGTTTAGAGAACAAGTTTCTGTGGTTCCAGATGTCTGCAATCTCTTGGAAGGCAGCACAAGACAGTTACAGGTTCTTGGGCTTGTCTTGAGCAGGAAGACTGTCTCTTTCAACCCTACCCACAAAACAAGCCTGAGGTCTACAAGCAGCATAAAGTGACACGTCCATCTGCCTTAAGAGAGAAGGCAGGGAACTGATCCCACACCCAAAACACACCGATCAGGCTTTGTTCTGTCCCCCACATTACTCAAATGCTCGGCTGGGGGAAACGGTACCCCAACTTGAACTTGCCAGGCCACACAATCACCTTAATGCGACACGGCTCAGGATAAGAATGAAGATGTACCCAATCCCACACCTGCAATCTCTGATTTTTTATGCCCCCCCCCCTTGAGAATGCACACTGGGCTCATAGACTGATTTGTGGATGGATCATGGGGTTTGTCCAGAATGAATGGTTTCCTAGAGTCAGTCTCTCAAATGCCACCCATGAAAACAGTCTTTCACAATTAGGTTTTTAATTTTCTCCAGAAAACCTTCACAGCTAAATCATGCTTCCAACTAAGTAGGTTCAGTAGGCTGCTTGAATCTTTTCAAGCAGTTTTTTTTATTTTAAGGTCCCAATTTTGTAATGTCACAAACCCTATTTTCTTCCCTTTCAATTTCTTTACTAAATTGTACCTTCAGATATGAGCAACGTTTAAGGCTTTTTATTTTTATTTCAATTAACCAATATGCAACATTGAGGTTTCCAGCATAAATATCTCAATAAGGAGCTATATAGAGAAACCCTTTATAAAGAACCAAAAGACAAATTGATGAAAAAGATTTTTTTTAAAAAATCTCAATTCAAATTTATGTTTAGATTATAATGCTATCCACTTATTAGCTGAAAGAAAATGAAATTTGCGCAGAACGTATCTCAATTTCAGTCCATAAATATTATCTTCAAATGCTGAAACTTAAATGGGAAAGATTTCCCAATTCAATTCACACTATGGTCCACACTGACCAAATTTTATTTATATTAAATAGTCTTCAGAATGCTCAACATTTTGATAGTTATTTTTTAAATTGTTATTAACTATTGAATACCAACACTATTATGTGTAATATCCTACCTATCATTACTTAATATAACTAGAATTTTGGGGCAATCTTGTGTTTGCAGGATAATAATGTACTTAATATAGCTAATTCACAATATTAGTAGGGTGCAATAAACTTTTGTTTTGTTTTTATTTCCAAGGCAGGCTAACTGCAAAACCACACGAAATATGGACCTCGATCAGGCACAGTTCCCAATGGCTGGCAGGGTTTTGCTCTAAACAAGAATTGTATCATTTGGCCTGATCAATGCACAGTGAATTAACGACATGTAAATAAAAGAGATGCGCCATTGAAGTTTTATCAAGAGAAGGGAATAGTGAAACTCCGCAGGGGAAAAAAATGAACACATGGAAACACTGGCATTGGTGATTTGTTTCCAAATTTCCTGGAGATCTAAAAGCAGCAGGACAATGTAAAACATTTGTCATACTTCTGAATTGCAATCCCTGAACTGAATGGGAAATTTGCCTAGGCAGTTTTTAAAACTGCTATTTATTTTTATTTGGATTTTTTCGTTTTGTTTTCTAATAATAAAAGGGAAACTATCTAACCAGGAGGCTTAATCCCCCAGTTTTAATTAGATCAAAAGGCATCTAACTTCTGTTTCTGAAAAAATATTGCTAATTAGTACATGAATGTAATCAAATGCAGTTTTGCCATTTATACATAGGAGGTATGTATATAAGAAAAATAACTGAATGCATCAGAACTTGGGCTTTGTTGGATTCATAGTACTTCAGATTAAGCCCACGCTAACTACCTTCTCTTTACAATTAATGGAGGTGGATGAACAAGAAGTCAGCCTAAGGAATAGGAGATGCATGCATGAAAGCTTCTGAGTTTCCTGTACTTACTTGTAGCCAAATTAATCCACTAGGTAACTCAAACACTAGGCATAATGCATGGTGTGTGAAACCCATTAATTACTTTCCCTCCATCCTTTCCTCAAAGTTTACTTTAAAAGCGGCTGGTAGACAATGCAACGTAATTAATTTACCAATTTATTTTATGAAAGGACTCTTTTGCCATCGTGAAAATATAATCATAACCCTAGTGCTGAGCGGGAAGTGAGTGGATTTCTGTGCGAACGGTTTGTCACAATGCAAAAGGTAATTATTTAGTGCTTCTGTTCCCTTTAATGATCTAACATTGAGCAATACTGTTTATATTGAAGAGAGCTTGCACCTTTAATTACCAATTACATATACATAATTTTAGAGCCAAAAGGGAAAGGAAAAACCGAGGGCTGTGAAAAGACTCCTTTAGACAACATATGCATCCTTTCTCAAAAAGAATTCCTATTAGGTGGGAGCAGAGTGTCAAAATATTAAAACACGCACACACAAAGGAAGATAAGGTAAAAGGATCGGAACAGCCAGAAATGAACCTAGGCACAAATAAGGAGCATAATGAATGGAAGTCGGAAAATAGATAAAATTCAAAAAACGTGTCTTGGCATTTCTTTTACACCCCTGCTTGCTAAAGTGAGATATGTGGCTAAAATTACAATAGGCTAACTATGTACGTGTTTTAATATGGAATGGGAGAGGAGTTTTCAAGCTTCTTAACTTTATGATGTAGGATATACTGCTTATACAAAAAAAAAATTAAAAAGGGAAGCAAACAAGAGGGGAGGAAGGAGTAGAAAAATTCAAAGTAACCAGCCTTCCAGACCTCATATTGGTTGAAATTTCAAAATCTCCTTCCACTGCCAGTAGCTGATTTTTTTATATAAAAAAGAAGTCTATTATTAAGAATTAAAATAGGATTGAATATAATTTGTTAAAAAATCAATTTTCCCAGTTTGCAAGACAATTTAGAAATCAAATATTCTTAAAGTCATCAATTTTCCCGTTTTATTTGGCTATCTTGACATCCTGTGCTACGCGAGTCTCATTAGCATCTCATCATGATTAGTAAGTCTGTGTGTCCCCATTTATCTAAATCTTCTCCCCTTTACTCTCACCCAAGTAAATGGTGTGCACAGTATACACACACACAGTAATTTTTCATTCTCTGGAGCTATCACATTTTAGAAAATCAGCTTTATATTTCCTCCTTGTGCAAAGTTCTCTCTCAAATTATCGTTGCTGTTTTCAAAGAAATCAATGGAAGTTATTTAAACAGTCATTTTAATTCTGATTAAATTTAATAACCCAGACAGAAAGCTATGCTGATAAGTGGAATAGTGCAGTACTATACATATCTACGTACAAGTAAGCTCTGCTCAAGTTAAGGAGGCTTATTCCCAGGGAACCAAGTATAGGATTGTAGTATTATTGCAGATTAAACTATCTGGAGCAAGTAAAAGTAATGTTGATATACTCCAGAGTAAGTGGGGTCTTTCTTCAGTAATAATGGTTAAAAATTTAACTCCCAGAACTGTATTCTATTTTGAAACAGAATTAACAAAAGGCAAGCAAAAATAGCAACAAAAGCAAAAAATAAAAGCAACTAATCATTACAGAACTAAAAAAGCTCATTGTTAATTATCAATATATTGGTGAAACAATAAAGGAAGCCTAAAAAGCAGCTTACTATCTAATGAAACCTAATATATAGAAAATATCAATTATATAATTTTATACACTGACACACACAGTATATACGTGTATGTTCATTACGCACATTAGTCAAAATAAATATGAACATCTGTGATCAGAATTTGATGAGAACTTGGAAGTTTTTCCATGCATAAAATGAATGAAAACATGGCGATATTTGTTTTTAAACTGGCCATTTATTCATT